TGAAGATAGGCTGACAGGATGAGTCGCCCACCCTGAGGGTATCCAAGTCCAGAGCTGGTTTAGTTTGGTGGCTGTAGACCTCGAACTCCATAAATCCATCTTTGGTACACAGCTTATCTGTAACTACACAATGGTGAGGGTTTAGAGAAAACTATGTGATTGTGTCATCTACCAGCCTTACAATAGGAGATGAAAAAGATTTTCAGCCCAAGGTACCAGACTACCTTAAGTCTATTTTTTAAAGTCTATGTTTACGATAACCCGAGAAGCAGCTTGAGGTCAACCCTAAGAAACTTAAGCAAAAGTGCGATGTTATCAGAAAAAAAATTCAGTCTGGAGGGCAGGGAAGCATGTACCCTTATGAGAAAAAGGCAGATGAGAAAACTAGACACTGGGACAAAGAAATTCAAGAATCAAATCACTCACGATTTAAAATTTAGTGCCTGCTTTTGCAGCCTTCCTTTCAAGACTCTCAAATCTTAAGTGGCTTGGAGGAAAGAAGTAAAACAGGAATTCATTCCTGTTTGATATCATTTGAAAGAATCAACAGAAGCAGAGGTGCAGAGGCTAGGTCTGAAGTACCCACCTTCAGGTCCTCGCCTTTTGAGGAATTTACAGGTATTTAGGGCAAATCTTTTTAACAATTTTTTAATTAGCCATTCTTGTCTAATTAGTGGATTTGCATCCTGAACAGCTCATATCCAGGCTACTTATACCTGGAACAGCGTTCAGATCTACCTACTTGTTTTATTTGTGACCTTACATGATAGTAATCTCTGGATGGCATGTTGTTAGGTTACCAGTGAGTTGGTTCCAACCCATAGCAACCCTACATACAACAGAACTAAACACCGCCCCCATCCTGCATGAGCCCATTGTTGCAGCCCTGTCAATTGATCTCACCGGGGCCGTCCTCTTTTGCTGCCCTACTTTACCAACCATGATGTTCTTCTACAGGGACTGGTCTCATAACAGTATGTCCAAAGTGGGTGAGACGCCATCCTTGCCTCTAAGAACGCTCCAGCCATACTTCTTCCAAGACAGATTTGTCTAGCCTTTTTAGTAGTCCATGGATTTTTATGGCCCATATTCACCAGCACCATCACTTAAATGCATTGATTCTTCAGTCTTCCTTATTCCATGTTCAACTTTCACTTGTGTATAAAGTACTGCATATACTCGTGTGTAAGCAGAGTTTTCCCAGCACATTTTTATGCAGTTTTTGTGGTAAAATTAGGTGCCTTGACTGATATTCGAGTCAGCTTATACTCAACTATATAGGTAATTGAAAATACCATGGCTTGGGTCAGACACACCTTAGTCCTGAAAGTAATGTCCCCACTTTTCAACACCTTAAAGAGGTCTTGTGTCAGATTTACCCAAGGTGATGCATCTTTTGTTCTCCTGACTGCTGATTCCATGAGGATTGATTGTGGATCCAAGCAAGACAGAATCGTTGACAACCACCTTTCTCCATTTATCATGATGCTCCCTACGGGTGCACAGTTGTGAGGAGTTTGGTCTTCTTTGACCATCTATAATGAAGGCTGTAATCCTTGGTCAGCAAGTGCTTCAAGTCTTCACTTTTGGCAAACAAGGTTGTGTCACCTGCACCTTGCAGGTTAAGCCTTCCTCCAAACCTGATGCCGCATCTGGAAGGCATCCTGGTTTGCATAAACATGAAATACTTGACAGATTGTTCAAGCCCATCGAGACATCTCCGAAGAAAGGCTTCCTTTTCTAATGTGGTTGTAGCCTCGAACTATGAATACGCTCTATCCTGCACATATGGGGTCAGCACGAGTCAGAATCATGCAGCCAGCAATTGATTTGTGTGGGGTTATTTTACATATCGTCATTAACAGGACATTTAGTGTTTCCAATTAGTTTTCATCTCTTCAAAGCAGTAAGATCAGAATATGAGCTAGTATTTTTTTCCCCACGTGTTCAAGAACCAAAGGAGAAAAAAGATGTCGGGGAAAATAGATAAATGTCTTACCTACAAAAACTGGAGAGTCGCAGACACATTCAGGATGCATTACCATGGACACAGTCCTCCCATAAATGTGGAAAGTCAGCTTGAGTGATAAATAGAACTGAGAGGAGAGGCATTTTGCAGAAATCTGAAACGAGAGGAGAATGTTGATTAGCTGTCACAGCATATGTGGCATCTCCTGGAATCACGGGGCTGGAAGGATGTATGCTGAATACTTGCAGGGTACACTCCAGACTTCCTATTTCCCCAACACCAGCACAAGGGAGACTATCCATTTCTCCAGATCAGGCGGCTCACCCCAGGCAGGAAATGGATTGCTTTGAATTCCTCTGGCTGGCCCTAACTCACCCAACTGCTGCATGCTACAAGTTCTTTGTGGTGGATATTAAAGCATACATTAATATATCAACAGGTCAAAGTCCAAAGAGCTAGAGCACCCTCCTCCCCCCACCAAAGCAAAGCAGAGCATAGTTACTAATGTGATTGCAAGACATGCATTCCAAGTAAAACTAGTGTCCAATCAGTCACTTTGGCCTCCGTGGGGACAGTTAGGCCCTATATTGATCCAACAAAAGTGTTGCATCATTAGAAACTCCACAATTTATAGTACTCTGAATAGAAAAGCTGAGGACAATTTCCGTTGCAGAGATTAAACAGGGTTGGTAAAATCTGGGAATTCACTTATATGAAATGATAGAATGAAGCCTTCCAAAGTGAGCAACTGCTACAACACCTTGGTTAAGTACACAGGAGCAAGTCAGCTATACTAGGATTGCCCAAAGACTGTCACAAATTAGATTTCCTCAGTTTGGTGGTTGATCATCGAACATACTTTTGTTTTGAGTAAATTTTTGCTGAAATGCAATCTCAAGCCGTTTGTTGTTTCTCTATCAATCCCTTTGTCCGGCAACTGGCTCACATCAATGCTCCTGCTTTCAGTGTTCACAGCTTTTAACTTCCCAGGAAACTTTGGTATGGTGAGAGTCATGTGGGTGGCATTACAAGTCACGTGATCTGGAAAGAAGGACAGAAGACTCATTATCATTAAGTGAGCCAAGAACAGTATCTCCCATAACCGATATTGCAGTTTCCTGGGGCTTCACCTGTGACACAAATCATTCGAGCTGAAAGGATGATCTTCCTTCCAGGACTCTCGTGCAGCAGGCTCAGAGACACCATATAGAGATGACTATTGCCTTGCTGCGAAATCAGAACAGAATAACTTGATTACTTAAATCTCTAACCAAGGCTATAAAAATAGACACTCATGTATGGTGAAAAAGGAGTTGTCTGAGCCCTTCATAAAATTTTAAAAAATACACACTAGTATTTGGCACTGATTTAACATGGAGAATGTAGGTATTTTGTCCAATGACTTAAGAGTTGCCAAGTTTAAAAATTTTGTATTTATAGTATGTGGAAAATTAATGTACCTCCTGATATCTACCTAGAAATTATACAGCTGTTAAGTTATGGTTATCAGAAGTTAGAAAGTGCTTACAAGACTCACTGGGAACCAGAACTGTTAAAATAATGTTTGAGCCCTTAGGTGACAGGCTGTAAATACTTTGAAAACATTTACTCATTTAATGCAGTAACTTGATGGTTGATCCAGAAAACACATACCTGCTGTCAAACAAGCTAAAACCCTGCACAGGAGTCGCTGATAACACCTCACTAGGTTTAGGCTAAGGCTTTCTTTGGCATTATGTAGGAGATTTAGGTCTACAGGAAAGTGGAAGAACAGACTCATTGTGTTTCTTTGCAGTGTTTGGCACCTAGAACTATTATTCACCGAGTTAGATCACTGAATTTTTAAAGACCTGGTTGCAACCATTATTGGCATTACAATACTGAGTTTACCATGGTGGCAATACAAGGTTTTAACACCTACCTCATAGTGAGTTACTCCAGTGGCATTGAACAACACCTGAAGGATGAGTTTGCCACTATCAACCAGGGCCGAATATCCTTGTTTCATGGCCTCTATAAAGGTCATATTTCGGCCAGGATCTTCACCAACTGTAAAGATCCATCCTGGCAGAAGGGTTTTCGTCTAAAAGTCAGAAGATTCACTTAGAGAACTAGTAATTCACCACACCCCAAGATAATTAAGTTTGACCTCATCTACTTTAACATTTTATCAGGAGTCGAGTTAACAATGCTAATTAGATGTTACTAAGCTCTACAACTTAAATATTTTCATACCTTATTCCATCCATCGAAGCCAGGAAAACTCAGCAGAAAGGAAAACTGCAAGAAAAGGAAATGTGAAGTTTTGATTAAGAAACTCAGGTCATGCATGCCACCTGCCAATATGTGGGAACTTCCAAAGTAGTTGCTGTAGATAGTTCTTAGAAGCAAAAGGCCTGATCATAGAAAATCTACAAATCTCAACTGTACCCTTAAACATAGCATTTCATCTTTTGGTCTTAGAAGCTTAATTGGACTCATATGTAGAGCCTTTTACTGTCTCTGGGCATCAAATACTATCTGAAATCATTCAGTTCATTGATATCTATCAGCCAAATTGAAATAGAAGTTCCACAAAGCTATTATTGCACTACTTCTCTCCTAAGTAAAAATCCTAGCCCTGACAAAGGAGCCCTGACAGCGATGGTTAAGCACTTGGTTGCTAACTGAAACTTCGTAGTTCAAAGCCACCAGTGGGTGCTCAGGAGACAAGACCTGGCCTCTGCTCCTGAAGATGTTGTAGCCTAGGAAACCATACAGGTGTCTACTCTGCCCAAGACGCCCCACCGTAAGTCAAAGTCAACTTAATGGCAAAGAACACCACACCTGACAATAGGTATTCAATTTGTCAAGTTATTATTGATGTAATTGCAGCTACCAGATGAACCCTCTTGACAAACAAGATACTAAGCAGAGTATATACAGTCTTAGTCTATTTAAGGTACCCGAGGAGGTGAGCATGATCTCCATATCTGACTTAGAAACAGAACTGGCATTTTTAATTCCATCTCTGTTGAGCCCTCTTGAGAAGCAGGCAGTCTGCGTTACTCACAGACATGACATCTTCCATGCAGTTTGTGGATCCCGTAAGCCATTCGGATGGAGCCTCTAATTCCGTAGCTGGACAGCTGATCTGATATGTGATGGGCTCAGGGCTTGTAGGAAGATGGTCGTCCACAACTCTCATGGTCATCTGGTACTCCTTATGCTATGTGCAGACGGGGTTGTGAGAAAGCATGCCAGTACTTCAGGAGGAACGTCCGGAACATCAGCTGAATCCAAACCCATAAATTACCAATGCCATCGATTCTGAAGATAATTTTTTAAAACCCAGAAACCTTTATAGCTAGCCCTTTCAGATACCATGGTAAGAACTTCTATGCTGGCAGAGAACATTTCTAGTGAGGCTCCATTCATTTATTTTCTTTATCAGGGCCCTGGCTTGTTTGAATCACTAGGGTTATTCAAACTTGGGTTAGTAACCCAAGTTATTCAAATGCACTTACTGCGTACCAGTTGTAAAGAGTCTTTTTAATTCTTTTCCTCAAAGAACTCAGTGTAACACACAAGTTGTCCAGCCAGCTTTGTGAATGGTTAGATGGTAAACATCATTGGCTTTGTAGTTCATGTACTGTCTGTAGCAGTTTAAAAATACTTATATATTTAACATGTGAGGACCAGTGCAATGATTGTGGTTGATAGCAAAGCTTAAGGACCATAGCAGACAGGTCAGGGGCTGAATTTGGCCTTGTCATTTGTAGAGGCCTGGTCTAAAGTAGAAGAACCCTAGTTAAGCACTTAGTTGTTGTTAATTAGAAACTCGGTATGTCAAACCCACTAACCTCTTTACTGTAGAAAGATGTGGCAGTTTGCTTCTGGGAAGATTACAGCCTTGGAAACGTCCTGGGGCAGTTCTATGTGACCTACATTACCTGATTAAGCATTGACTCAATGGCAACAAATTTGGGATTTACCGTTTTGTGTCTGAAATGATACAGCTAGTCCTGAGGTCCTCATAGTTGCAAAGGATTTTCACCGAAAAGGTTAATCATCGGAGGTTCTCACAAAACATGCTTCCTTCACAGGGAAATCATCGAGGGCTTCAGGGTCAGAGGACTTACATTTGTCACTTGTTTAGAGACTAGGGTTAGAGACCGCAGATTCGACTGCAAATTGCTATACCAGAATTAGACTGATAAAGTGGCCTATTAAACTTGTCATTTTTTAATTTTGGCCATCGTAACAGAAACCAGCCTCTAAAGGACACCATGCTCGGTAAAGTAGAGGGGCATTGACAAAGAGGAAGGCCTCAACAAGACGGAGGGACACGGTGGCTACAACAATGAGCGCAAACATAGGAGCAATTATGAGGTTGGGGCAGGACCTGGCCGTGTTTCCTTCTGTGGGGCACAGGGACGCTAGGAGTTAGAACTGACTGGAAGGCACCTAACAGCTAGGACGTCAAACATTAAACCCATACTTTCCCCAACCCCCCTCCCCAGGTGTTTCTTTTCCATACTTTGAGAACTTCTGCCTTAGACAAGTCATTCTTAATACTTAAAATCACCGATTGGGCAATGTTGCTCAGCAATAAAAACCTTGCTGCTCAGCTGCTACTGTTTGCCTTTCAACACCTGCATTCATAGGGAGACGTTCTGTCTTTTCAGAACTCATTGCATGTGGAGATTCCAGCTAATAAATCATGTGTGGGTATCCGTTGTCTCTAAGCCCTCTGCCTTCATTATATCATGGACCTCAGTTACCTGTGGAGAAGGTAGTCTTCCCAATCCTCCAGTGAGCAACAGAGGCTTAGTATGGAAGATAATTTGCTCAAGATTACAATCCAGAAACTGGCAGAATCAGGGGTTAAGATCAATGCCCTTTACTCAAGTTGTCTGACCTTAGTACCACTATTTGGAGGCTCAGTAGTGTGTGACATGTGACTGCCCTGTGCATTCTAGGATATTTAGCGACATCCTTGACTGCTACCCACCAAAGGCCAGTAGCAGTCCCTTAGGCTGTCATAATTTGACGTGCCTCCAGGCCAGGCCAAATATCCTCCTAGGCAGGTAAGATTTACCCCCCACCCTCCTTTGAGAACCACGGCTTGCCTCCAGAGCCTGCATCCTTAATGACTAAGTTATACTGCTTCCCAAATCCATCTCAAGCAATCACTTACCACCCTCCTGGTACAGTTTTCATATGGAACAATCAGGATGGCCTTTTCTGGGTCCAGGGTGTAAATGCAGTTCCGTATTTCAAGACCAAGGGCATCTACGGAAGCGAGAGCAGTGTTAAACAGGTAATGACCAGGAGGATCTGAAGTAAAATTCTGCGATAGAATCAGTCAAGCATACAGAGCCAAGACTGCCAAAGCGATTTCCAAGGCAATTCGATGCCTCCATTTCTTTTTATCAGCCTCACTGGAAGCAATAACACGAGCACTGCCAAATGCTAGGATTTTCAGCTCGAAAGATGCCCGAGGGGACTCACATGACAGCCTCTCAAGGAAAGACCAGGTTTGCTACTCTGGGTGGCATCATGCAAATCCAGAATGCCAGGGTATCATGGGAAATAGAGGAGACTGATTCCACAGCTTGTATACTTGCTCACCTGACAAATGGTGCTGAGAGTCAAGGGTTTGTTACTAAGTGGGCCTAACATGAGGCAATACATCACCTACCCACCACAGATGCGTGCCATTTCTTAAGGTCAAGGTTTTCCGGAAACTTCACTATTACTCCGTCATCATTGCAAGAGACAGTGCCTGGAAGGGTGAGAGCACATTTGGGGCCTGAAGTTAGAACATTTAGTTCCTGCCCAAGGGACCTGGAAGATGCTTCCTCTCTGATGGGCATCAGGGCAGGATACCCTTGGGAATGCCGTAACTTGTCCTTCACCTTCAGAGAGCTTACACAGACAATTGCAATGCAATATATCAGGTACAGTAAAAAATAAAAAAAGCATCAAGTTAGTTCCCTGGGCCCTTTAAAATGACACAAAAAGCCTATGGGAGCCTGACAGGAACCTAAGAAAAGTGGAGGTGGTAGGGGTATGAAGTAAAAGACAGATTTTCTAAAGGTTTTTTAAAGGCCAAGTCAAAGAGTTCTGAATAAACAAGGGCACATTATGCAAAGCAGATTCTGTCCTCAGTGATTGCTTTGCTGCAACCTCTGGCACAGCGGAAACATTTGAAATACTTGGTTTTAAGCCCGACAGCTGGGATGTTTTTGTTGGTTATTCTGCACTGTGCAAGGGTCGGTGGGAAAATTTCTTACTGGAGCTTAATGGGCTACGCTTGAGGCAGTCAGGAAATGGATCCCAAACCCACTGCCATCAAGTCGATTCCAACTCAAGGATGCTATCTAGTGTTTCCTGGATTGTAAGTCTTCCTGGGAACAGGGAGCCTCCTCTTTCTCAGAGGCCTGGCGGGTTTGAGCTACTGAAACTTAGGCTAGCTGCTCAATGTTTAGCGGTCAGCACAGCCAGGGCTCTTAAAGGGACTAGAGCAATTTTATTTCACAGGCTCTTTCCTATAGCAGGTAGAACAAGTCATAAGTCACTCAAGTCAGTGATTTGACCAAGGTGAGGAAGCTGGGCACGTGGAGATGGGCTGAGCCAGGTCTGTTTCCTGGCCAGTTTGATACCCTAGCCACCCCTTATTGTAGAAGCCAAGAGCGTATTTCTCACTCAAGAGTCATACCTTGGAAGTTAGGTTTGGGCAGCTGAAGAACACCTGAGTTCACCGAAGTTGTAAGGGCAAAGATGAGCATAAGAGACGTGTAGGCTCTGAAAAGAGACGGAGCAGAGTGTAAAGGAGGGATCAACTCAAGCACACAGGACCACGACTTCCCCCTTCCTCTTTCACAGAATTACCTCAAGACTCCATAGAGCCAGTTGGGGTGACACTTGCAACCAGCCCGCCAACTGCATGCCATGGCAAAGAACAAGCCGACAAGGTAGCGATGGGTGGATGGCTCTGTGCTTTTATAGGAGGAAGGAATTGGCTCTGGCCCACCCCCTTGCAATTGAGTGCACCTGCATCTTCTTTAGCCCTCCCAGCTAAGACGAGCTGCTTGGGTTTTCTAGAAAGCCTGAAAGAAGCCCTCTATTGGATACTTGATTTGACACTTCCTGAACCTGCCTTTCGACTATTCCACCAGCTACTGAGGGCCCGTCTGGAAACTAGCATGTCCTGATGGAATTCAGATGTATGAACCGGTACTTTCCTCCATAACACTGGGGAAAACCAGGATTTTTTTTTTGACACAATAGAGTGAAAGAAGGTAGTGGTCATTACTGAGGAAAGAACATTATTTTCCTTCCTAAATCACTAAACATTTCTTTCTTTTTTTTAATAATCATTTTATTGGGGGCTTGTACAACTCTTATCACAATCCATACATCTATTCATTGTGTCAAGCACATTTGTACATTTGTTGCCCTCATCATTCTCAAAATACTTGCTTTCCTGGCTATTGTGGAAGTTAGTTACCCTGGAAAAATGCATCAAGAATGATCAAACAGATTCAGTATTTTTATGTTATTCACATCTGTATTGATTGAATTGTTTTGGCAATAAAACAATCAATTAAAACCATTTTTTAGCAGTAACAGTAACAAGAGTCAACCCGACTTCCGTATGACGAGCAATAGAAGCCATAGAATCAAGGGTTATGGGTTGCAAGTTCATATCATAAAGGTCTAAGGCCCAAGTGAGTGGGTTTGGAGCAGACACTTTCTAACAAACTCTAATTCCCTATAATAAACTAAAAAAAAAAATCATAAGGACAGGTTTAGTGGCTTGTCAAAGGCCCTATGACTTGTTAGTAGGAGAGATCCAGTGAGAAACCAGGTCCCCTGATATCCAGTCTAAGGCTTTTTGTGACTCATTATGATTTTGTCTGTATATGAAAGGGTATTTCTAAACTCTGGAACAAAGACCACTCATTTATAAGGCAGTTTAGACAAATATGCATGGTTTAAAATCAGGAAAGGTGCTGGATATGTTCACCATACTTATTCTATTTGTGTGCTGAGCAAGTAATCTAAGGAGCTGGATGATAAAAAGAAGGTGGCATCAGGATTGGACAAATGCTTATTAACCACCTGTGATACCCAGATGACACAATCTTCCTTGCTACAATCAAGGAAGGGTGAAGCACTTGCTGATAAAAATCAGACTGCAGCCTTCAGTATGTGTTGCAACTCAATTTAGAGAAAGCAAAAAACCTCCCAAAAATCAAAACCCAAACCAAACAAAATCAAAACAAGAATCTGGACCAGTAGACCATAACTGGATAAGCAGAGAAAAATATTGAAGTTGTCGAGAATTTCATTTTATTTGGATCCATAAACAGTGCTCATGGAAACAGCAGAGAAGAATTCAAACAACATATTGCATTGAGAAAATCTTCTGAGCAAGACCTCTCTAAAGTGTTCAAGAGCCAAAATGTAACTTTGAGGATTAACTTTAAAGGATCAGGTGCACCTGATCCAAGCCAGGGCATGTTTAGTTGCTTCATCTGCATATGAAAGTTGGGCAATGAATAAGGATGATGGAAGACGAATGGATGCATTTGAATTGTGGTGCTGTGGAAGAATATTGAAAGTATCATGAATTATATGAGTCACAAACAAACCTGTCTTTGGAAGAAGTACAGGCAAAATGCTCCTTCAAACTGAGCATGGCAAGACTGTGTTACTTGCATTCCATCATGTTAACAGGGGAGACTAATCCCTGGAGAAGGACATCATGCTTGGTACAGTCGAGGGGCAGTGAAAAAGAGCAAGACCCTCAATGACGTGGATTGACAAGTGTATACAACCATTAGCTCAAATATAATGATTACAAATATGACACAAAACTTAACAAGTGTTAAGTTCTGAATAAAAACATAGGGCAATTTATAGAGAAATGGGTGATAGAGAAGGCTCAGAAGTTCTGTATGAAACCTCATTTATTTATAAATACTAACACTGAAAATCATAAGTGGTCACTAGGACAATGGTTACCACAGATATATGAGAAAGTTTCATAGTGGTATAGGATATCCCTTTTAGTTGATAAAGCACAAAATATTTCTACTATCTATTAAAATTCTTAATGTGATATGGTAGATTGATTGTAAAGAATTGTTATCAACCCCTTTCTATTTTCCCACTCTTTTCTACGTGTCTGTGAAATCAACCTACTTCCCCATTCCTTGACTCTGTGCTTCTTCAGGGTTGCCAGTTCAAAGCCACTAGCCACTCCGCAGGAGAAAGAAAGAAGAGGCCTGTAAAGAGTGACAGTCTTGGAAACCCACAAGCTTGATGTCATCGAGTCAATGCTGACTCAGGGACCCTCATTTGTTTCCAAGTTTGGCAGTAAGTTTAGTTTTGGTTTTGACTCTGTGCTGGCCTTGTGACTTGTTTTGGTCCTTAGATGGTGGTAGAACTGATAGCATGCCAATTTTACAATGAGCTCTCAAGAGACCTTGTACACCCCTTCTCTCTCTCTCAGCACCCTGGCTCTATCCGAAGAACAACCTCAGGCTAGCCTGCTGGTGGTTCCAGAGATCACCAGTCATCCCAGATGTGTTTAGCCAGAACATAGATTCCTAAACTTATTTGGCTTACTGCACCTTTTTCAGAAAGAAAGAAAAAAAGAATACACAGAGCCCCTCGGCAACGAACAGCTTTTGTACTGTAGCCCATAAGCCAGGATAAAATGTAGGCATTTGTTTTTACATCCCTCTAAGATCATTTCAGCATCCTCCCTTCAGGAATCACTCACTTAGGGAACACTGTTGTAGTTGAGCAACATGTTTTCAGCTGACCAGCCAGTTAACTACTGATGGATGAGTGAGCCCAGCTGGGCATGCCAATTGAGGAACTGACCAATTGACCTGCAGGCTTGTAAGCTAAATTGTTCCTTATTGTTTTACGCTGCTTAGTTTTGGGGCGATTAGTTATTGACTATGATTGTGGCAAGAGATCGTGGTAGAAGTGAGTGTCTGTTTCTGCTGTTTGGAATTCCCATCTGAAAGAGCCTGGTTTATCGTTATGAAAATGCAGATGTTCTCTGGTTGAAGTAGGAAACATTTATTATCATCCATGAAGTTTAGAAGTCTCAGAAGCAACACACACACACACACACACACACACCTGGTTTATCGTTATGAAAATGCAGATGTTCTCTGGTTGAAGTAGGAAACATTTATTATCATGCATGAAGTTTAGAAGTCTCAGAAGCAACACACACACACACACACACACACACACACCTCTTGCACAAAAACTCTGCTGTCAGGGGGTTTCTGTCTCATAAAAAAACAAAAGCAAAGACAAAACCCTATTTCCATCAAGTCATTTCCAACCCATCTTCCAGGACAGAGTAGAACTGCCCAATAGCCAAGCGGTAACTCTTTAAAGATGCAGGTCCCCACATCTTCCTCTAGAGCAGCTGGTAGGTTCAAACGGTCCCTTTCAGTCGGTAGCAAAGCACGTAACCATTGTGTCACCAGGGATTCCATAGTCCTACCTTTATGGCAATTAATAAATAAGTCCATAGTAAAACTCATATTCAGGTTTTCCAGACAGTCTTTCAAAACTTTTATTTTTTGAAATAGGATCCAGTTAAACTTCATGGATTGAATTTGGGTGCCTTGAATTATTTTTAATATAGAGCAGTCCCTTCATTCCCCCATCCTTCCTTTCAATTTTTGTTTAGTCACGACACCGATTTTTCTAGTACAGGTGGCTTTTTGCATCCAATGACTTTGTTTCTTACCAACAAATTCTTACTGAAAATAGACTTTCATGAGTCATGTAAAGTTGATTTCTGCTGCTTGAAACTAAAGAGTCCAAATTGATTCAGAAGGGTAGATGCAATTGGAAGGATGAAAGTTAGCAGGTGGGGGTAAAATTAAGGAACAAAGCCATTGGCAGTGTTTGATCAGCTACTTTATGCAGGCACTATACCAGGTGCTTCCCATAGGTGTGAAGGAAAACAGGACTGACGTCTAAGAACACCTGGACACTGTTAGGCCTTTATTGATGCTGACTTTGGTTCAAGGATCTAGGAAAGCTAAAGTTTGTAGGGCGTGTGTGTGTGTGTGTATAATTTCTTCTTTTCCTGGAGTGGCCTGCATATAAAAGGGCAGCAATATAACAAGGAATGGGCTGATTTCTTTCAACTTAATTGGAGAGTATCTGACTCACACATCAATGGAACTGAGGGACCGGGATAAGGTTTCATTACAACATAAGCAAAATCCAAACCTACGGCTACATAAGCAAAATCCAAACCTACAACTTATAGGCACCCTGTAAGGCAGATTTCTGAGACTGTTAATCTTTAGGGGAACAGGCAGGCTCATCTTCGATGGGACCATCAGGCCTCCTTCTGCTCTGAATGAACACTTCCATTAAATTGCTGTCAGCTTGGCTAAATTGGGAAATTATACTACAAATATATGTGGATATTTTGGTGTTCTCTTTATTATGATCAGTTATTAACCTCTAATTATAACAGTCCAGATGGTGTTGTGGGTTAGGCATTGCACTACTTAATCATAAGGTCAGTGGTTCAAACTTACCAGCAGCTCCCGTAAAAAATGGTTGAAGGTTGAAGGTTTCAATCTATTCATAGGTCTAGTGATAACTTCCAAAAATCCACAATGGAAACCCTGTGCAACACTGTTCAGTTCTGGCACAGGTGGGTATGAGTATAGCTGTCAGTGGCTCCGTATTCTACTCAGAATAGCCCTTGTGATGGTGAAGAGTTGGGCAATGATGCAGGGTATGGTGAAGATTTTCACACATGGGCTTGATATATGGATTGACCTCTACCATTTGTCTTGAAAGTTATGTATTGAAACCCGCTATTTATTGTGTACCTCCACCACTTGCCTGCCAGTTTGTTATTCGGCGGTGGCTTGTGTGTTGTGATGCTGG